AGAAGATCGCTACCAAGGAAAGTCCTGTAATAAAGCGCTCGACCACTGTCAAAACTCCAGCGTAACAGAGAAATTCGCTGAGTCGAGTTTTGATTCACCAGGAATGTCGCAGCAGCCGGCCACCATCAAAGTTTCCCGAACCCTAAAGGAAGGCCCCAGGAAAAGTTTTCACACTGGGAAAGTACGATTGGGGCGAGCGCTGAGTTTTCTTGATAAATGGAAGAATAAAAAAAGTAAAAAAAGAGGAGAGGAGCTGGACTACGAGGAAAAAGGAGACTTTGCCTTCCACGCTAACATAGTTCGGAATCGACAGTTCACGAATAGAAGCAAGAGATATACCACCCAAAGAAAAAGTGCGCCGCCTGCTCTCGAGGCTTCGATGCTTACAAGCTTATCGAATGAGCGAAGCAAAGAAAAATATTTAGAGATTTTGGAAGCGAGAAAAGTACGGCCCAAAAGCCTGTTAGACGCCGTTACGTCTTTAGAACTAGAAAGTGTATAGCCTTTTTATTTACATGACAATATACAGCGCTTTTATTGGTTTGAGAAGCGGTTAAGGTCGTGATCAAATTTTATTTTTATTGAATACTGGGCCAAAAAAAAAATTAAAATATAAATTTTCGTGGGATAACGAGTTTACGATTCTTCGGAATCGAGTATCAAGGATTCTTGCTGGCCCATCCAGAGGAGCAAGAAATGCCTATAAAGTATAGTATTGTTAAAAGGAACGTATAAAGTTAATATACTTTGTAAGTAAAATTATTGTAGTAGTGGCGCACACCCTTTTGCCACGTGGCGCAAAGCTTCTCCACGTAATCACACTTTTTGCTTGGTTGAAAAGTATTGCCTTCGCAATAATCAACGCGGTGCTTAAAGGTAATCATAAGCAGAAGCACGCGAAAAAAGACCATCAACAACGATATCTTCAAAGTTCCACAGACCCAAGCAAAAGCCGGCAGCAGCAGCAGCTCCGAGAGCACTGCTTTCTCTCATAGACGGCCTGAAAAACCTGCGCTATTTCACATATATGCGTATAGATATTTATCAGAATAAAATAAAGTGATTAACAACAATCCCTTGCACTGCAAAATATCCGCCAAAGTCTGCGCAAATATGGATATGGCGCACAATCCGCCAGTGACTACCAACGTAGCGACTGGCTTTTCTGAGTCTTGAGAGATGGCCGCGATGGTGTCACGTGTTTGCAAGCAGATGGCCTCCAAACAGGCGCGAACAATGTGCGCCTTTTTGCGAAATCACGTCTCATTAGGAAAACGGGAGGTACATGAGGGGACCTTCGTGGGAGTGCTGCGTCAGGCCAGCAATAACCCCGCGAGTGTCTGCCTTCCAATAGGGCGCATGGAGGCCACTGAAGGCGGGCACGAAACATACACCTAAAAACAATTCATACGGCTCAGTAAGAGTCACAATAAAAAATCTAAGACCTCCGGAATCGTCCACTTTTGTAGCAAGTTCTTCCACTTCCTCGAGATCGTTAACAATACCTTAACAAAGTTCATCTCCAATAAGAAATATAACGAACACCTCAGCTAATAAGCAATACCCAGGTCGTCGCGGAGCCAACGGATGGCCGCACCAGCTGTTGGGATGTAACCCTCTAGTGCATAGACAACGGATTGACTCTTTCCTTAATAATAAATATAATAAAAATAATAAAAATAAGGTGGACTATTACCGAGTTTATAAGCGACAGTGGTCAACAACCCGGTGCGAGAATAGTTAGGAGAAAGTCCTGTATTCTGTAAAAGGAAACATCCCGTACCAAAAGTAGCCCCACACTGCCCTTATAGTTGGTCAAAGCAATAATAAAAGGTAAACCCATATTTTCAATAACTTCAAAAAGTATAAAGGGCTTTGTAAATAATTGTTTGCACGAAAATGAATTGCGCAGAGTGTTACCAGCCTCTCGACAGCCTTGGCCTAGCAGCGAAGCGGACTGGTCGCCCAAACAGGAGGCAAAGGGGATCCCCTTAAGAACGCCATGTTGAAAATAGCCATAAACTTCCGAAGAGGATCTAATTTATGGCATTAAAAAGTTGAAAACTGAGGAATATAAAAATCTAACTTTAATTACAAAATTTTTAATTTTTATATTTTTGAGATAAGTTCGTGGTATTAAAAAAAGTATACGAAATTTAAAGGCAAACAAATTAAAATTCTTTTACTATTATTATAATTGTCATGTCTTCACAAATAAGAGTTTATAATTCGCAACGAAAGATAATACAGGTAATATAAAAAAGGGAGAAAAGCTTTTAACATGCAAGTGGAAGTACTTTTACGAAAAAATTCCCCATCAGCTTAAAACGGTTTTCTTTATTTTCTTAATTTTATCTATATTAAATTTTTATGGACCTACTCTAGCATACCTGAATTTTTTTTAATTTTTATAAATTGCACTTTACAGGTCTCAGCATAGTATATGGGGAGGTATAAATATGTATATAAATTTAAGCGTTATCTAAAAAAAATGAGTGGGATCCAAGAAGTTTTTAAAAGGCTGACTATTAATTATATTTTTTATTGATGCTTTAGGGGTAAACACTTTAAAATTGAAAAACTGAACTCAACTACTATAACTTTACTAATGCGTGTTAAATTCACTAATAAATATTTATATTAATCCAGCTAATAAGCCTTTTTTTAAAAGTTATAAAGAAATATTTAAAAAATTTCCAAAAAAAATATTTTAGTAAGATTTTTAATAAAAGAGATGCTTATGCCTATTATCTGCTCTTTTTTTTTGTAAACTTTCATTAACTTTGTCGTACTTTATAATTTATACATAAAGACTGCTTTACGTTGACCCAATTTCGAAACATTGGCTTAATTTTTTGCTAAATGTAAAGTCTATCTTCTTTTAAACTGCGAGGAGCTCCCGCAGTATAAAACATTTCAAAAAAAAGAGGAAAAAAAGTTAAAGAAATCGATAAGAAATTACATTTAAGCACTTTAGAGGCCATATATATCAAACTGCCAATCTTTTGTTATTGATAAAGTAGTTGTAAATTATAAAAAAACTTCAATGCTGAATATAGCTTTAAAAATTTTGTACAATTCAACTTTGTAAATACCTTTTCAAAATTACATAAAATTTTATTACACACCTACTAACTTTAATCCCAAGGGAATTTATATATATTATGTTTAGAAAGATTTAAAAAAAAAATTTAGATTAATATTTTTGATGAACCTAATTTCGGGTAAAGTTGCAACAGGAATTCCGAAGAAAGACAGAAGACGGCTGCTCCAACGACAAGTGTGCAGATTCATAAGCATCGTGCGCGAAGCATTCGAAACGTCCGTTACATGGTTTCCGGAGTATTTGTACAGAAGCCAGCTATCAAGAGTTCCGCAGCTCACAAAACCTAAAAAAATAACAATAAATCAGTTTTTACAAGTAAGAACGCAAGCTAGCCTTCTTTGATTTTTTCTTCAAGACCAGAAACGTTGTCAAAAATCCAGCGTATTTTTAAAGCGCTGAAATAGGTGGAAATGGGCAAACCGCACTCGAAGTTAAAATCGTTGAAATCACAAACAGTAAGTTTTTTCTTATATTTATCAACGAGAGATTGTGTCCTAAAAAAATTAGAAATGAGTGAATAAAAAAAAATTAGCAAGTGAAATAAAGTTGCCTATTATCGCCCCAAACCACAGCGTTATAGAGAGGAAGACCGGTTTGATTGTCCCATACTACAACAGTTTCTCGCTGGGTAGATAACCCAACGCCTTTAATTTGTGAGAGTTGGTATCCTGTAACAATTTAAAGTAAAGTTATGGAGTAATGCGTTAGGCCTCACTATCCCAGGTAAGCAGTTAAGGTCCAGCGTGAAGGAGAGGAAAAACAAAGCCGCAGTTAAAAGTGAACAAGAGTACACAACAATATAAAATTATAAAAAACCTTTTTTCAGAAAGTCCCTAATTGTCTTTTGAATGCAAAGATCTATCCTAGATAAGAAGCCCATAGGTTCTTGCTCTACCCAGCCTAGAAAGATTTTTATGAAAAGAACAAGTTATTGTAAGGGAATAAAGACCAGGTTTTGGAAAAAGTAAGGGATTTTCAAGTTGAGCTGAAGCTACACAATTTGAAGTATTGGACTGAAAAACCATAAAACGCACGCTGGAAGTCCCTACATCCAAAGCACCAAGGAAATTTACAGGTTTGTAGATTGTCTGAGACATGCTCTGATGTTACTTGGTTTATGATGTTAACTTTGCTACTATCAAAAAAGTTTCTAGGCCTGGACAGTTCAACTAGGCCAACTGCTCGATGAAAAGAAGTTTAAGCTAATATATCTTTGCATACTTCCTCGTGTGTTGACTATTAGCCACGCACTTACCGCCTTTTTTTTGGCAAATAAAAAAACTTCGGGTGGCTAACTTATTTTACAAAGACGCAGCAGATGTTCAAGTTTAGCATCACTCTTCTTTTTAATTTTTTATTATAATCATCCAAACTCAGCAAAATTCACAAGGCAGTCACCGCCTTCCATAGATTAAAGCGCTACCCAGCAAACAGCTACACGTCATAATGGGCTCGTCGTGAATTGAGTAAGAAGATTAAATCAAGATCTAAATTAGAAACTCTTTAAATAATTTTTCAACCAACGTCATCGCCCCATGGTACAGCGAACTGGTCACAGCAATTGACTGTGGAACCCGAGCTTATTTATTAACCGTAAAACTGCGCTCGCTACCACACTCTGCGTGACGCTCAAGCTTTGAGGGTTGGACTTGAAAGCCCTAAATATACGAGAGCCCGAAATTGCTGACTCGATCCGGCAACAAGAAAGTTTGTAACTTAATAGTATTATTAAAAATAGTTCCTTTGACTAAAACTTTATAAGTTTTTTAAAACATACAACATGTCCCAGGATTCTATTCTTAAAAGTTTATTAAAAAAAGCTTCTTCACATGTTAAAGATAAAAATTATTTAGAAACTTTACGCTTATCCCAGGTATTTTTACTTTTTTTTTAAAAAACTTTCTAGTTATTTTGAATCTTTTGTTTTTCTAAACGAGAATGCGTTGTCGATAGACCCGACATCTTATAATGCACTCCTTCTGATGGGCTTAGCTTACGAGGGCCTTGAAAATCCTCAGGAGGCCGAAAATTGTTATAGGAAGGCCATAACGATTAGTTATAACAATCCTTCTGCTCATTTAGTATCTTCAATACTTGCTTTTGCCAAGATAACATCAGTAATATTTTTTATAACAACAGGGTCTTTGTAAACTTTTGTCTCAGGATAAAGGGATTCAAGACAGTGTTCTTATACCATCTTACGAGGAATTGTGTAAAGTGTTAGAAAGGTAATAAAAAGTTTTACTTGAGTAATGTTGAATCCACTTGAGTTACTTTCGTAGTAATAATCAATTATCCAAATGGTTTTCAGCAATGCTAAAACTTATCGAGATATATCTATCCTCGGGAAACTACAAAAAAGTTAATTTACTTATTGTTTGATGGCTTAAATTATACTTAATAATTTTTTAACTCAGAGTTTTTCATTGATCAACACAGTTACTGATAAAGTATATAAAGGTAACTTTTCGAAATCTGAATTAATCAGGAAGTTGATATTTATGAGTATAGGTTGGAAACACAGGTCTTAATTCATTTAAATATTTTAGATATGCCTTCAGAGAAGCAGTACATTATTTACTACAAATTTTGTACAATTTTTCGAGATGCTTCTGATCGCGGAGTAGATAACTTTGATATACTACAGTTAAAGGAAAGAGAGCTAGATAAAGTACTTTATTTAATCAACGTATACAAAATACTTACCTTATTTAAGATCTTGAGGAATTTTGAGATTTTTAATAAACTAATCTTTGACAATCACATTATAAGTACAAGTAGTACTGAAGATCAGCAGGTTTTCTATATTAAACGAACTTATTATTATGTAAATATCATTATTATATTGTAATTATTATAGAAAGTGTTCGACTTATTAAAATGGATCTTAAAAATGTTTCGTTTGGTTTATTGGGAATTTGCCTCTGAGGAGGTCTTAGAAATTTTCTTTTTTTCTTTTTTTTTTTTGGTTAAGAAATTTTTTTTATTAAAAGATATACAATAAAAGTCTTGCACTAGCCACGCGCTTATTGTCTTTTGATAGCCTTCGAGGTTTTTTAATTAGTTATTGTGGTTAAGCATAATTTATACTCACTTACAGCGGAAATTTATTCCGAGTTGATTTTAATGAGCGAAGAAGATGCCAAAAGCACGTTTCTATAATGATTATTCGTTCCAATTTAGTTCAGCTTTGCAACTTATGAGACCCATTTCACTTTTTTTTGCAGCTACTGGTACTCTGGACACACACGATCTACTTTTAGAGGTGAGTGAGATGCCGGCGTGCGCTTATAATTTTGTTGCCGCGTATTTTTTTTCATCAGAGTTTACCCTGGATTCGTTAAGGGTTATTATTATTGTTGTTGTTATTGTTATTATTAATGTATGTTGTCTGCAGGAAGGTCTAATGAAAGAGGCGGAATGCCTTAGTGGGTGGATGCTGTTATTTTTCGAATTATTGGAAACGAATATTTCCGAGGCACTCAAAATCGGTGCTGTACTTTTTTTTAATGGTTCATTTTTTTTTAAAAATTTTTCTAAGGCCAGCAAGTTGTTAACCATTTCGAGCCCCCCAATCGGCGTCATTCTGTCCTTCAAGCGTTTATTTTTAATGATGGACTTATAAATGGCGCTTTTAAGAAGATTTTTGATTAGACGGTTACGTGAATTGCGCTATCTGGTTGGTCTGGCCGAACTGGAGGTCGCCCAATCCATAGAGGCCGAAGTTCCTGCGTCGCTGGAGGTATACGCCTCTGGTGGATGTCGCGTTTTCTTATTGGTTGTGAAGGCTCTCAACGGCGAGCTCCGGGGAGCCTCTACTTTTCTTGTGAGCGAAGCATCGCTTGTTTCTGATTTGGGCTTCTTGCGCGCCCGCCTAGTGCGCCTCCCTTTTCTCTATTTTTTTTTTTTGCTTTGCTCACTATTATTTGCGCAACTCTCAAGAACGACTCCGAAGCGGCCTTAAAGTTTTACCAAAGGGCGATGACTTTATTTGCCGCCTCGAAGAACGAGTCGCTCAGGACGAATCAGAAGTGGTGGGCCCTATGCCATGTGCGTACGGGCCTCCTTTATTGGCACATGGACGGTTTTTTGTTATTTCATTGGAGGAGAGTGATTGTTGATGACCCTGTTCCAGGCGTGTACAGAAGAGAGCGCGCTTTTGCCTTTTCGCACTTTCTTGCTGCAGTAAAAATGTCTCCCGGCATTGTTCGTTTTTTTTGTGACTTTTTTTCGCCTTAACTTGGGAGTTCTGTTGGGCTGCTAGAGAGCTTCTTATGAATATTTGGGCCATTTTTACCATGTGGTCGAGGGCGATGCGGCTCGAGGTGTCTTTGCCGGGGGCTCTAGTATGTCTAAATTTATTAACTTCGTTTATATATACTTGAGCAGCTATTGGTGTCTTTGAAAAGGCCGTCTCCCTCTCGCCTCAGTCACACGTGGCTGTACGTGTCTGCTTCTCCTTTTCTGTAACTTATTTATTTTGTTTGCAACAGCAAACACTCAGCGACTTATACTTGGCTCAAAACCTTTACGAGAAGGCGCGGCAGCTGCATATTTTGGCACGTTACTTCACTATCTCTAATGTATGTCGCTTGCAAAGACCACCAAACAGGTCACCCACTCCTGTCATCCGTTCACCTCTTGGGCGTGTTTCCGCCTTGGCTTGTACTATCTGGTTGCTTTATCATTAACGTCTGCCAATCACATTCTAATACCATATTAAGAACGCTGGAAACTCGTGCGAGGCTGTTCGCCACTTGCAGTCGGCTGTACGAGTCTCTCCGTCTCTTCCGCAAATGTCTTTACTGAAACATTTTTGGCTCCCTCTGGCGCTTATAAGTGCCCATCCTTTTATAGCTGGGAGTGTCTTGGCGAGGCATATGCTGGCATTGGTCGCCTGCCTGCCAGCATAAAGGCCTTCAGAAAAGCGATAGACCTGCGGGAAGACCCTTCTGTCTTTGCGAGGTTGACTCAATCGCCATGTGTCTTTACTCTCTTGGGTTTCTCCTATTGACCTCCTTCCTGTGTGGGTTCCGCACTGGCGAACTGCTTGCCGCGTTGCACTTCTACGACGAGGCGCTGCAGGAGTTCCGGCTCTGCCTACATGCCGAGCCTCTCTTTAGCCCAGCGCTACTAGGATTCTCTGTTAAGTTTTTATGTTTTTAGGGTATTGTTTGTTTTTTATGTATAAAATAATTCAATCAGAAAACACTTATTAAAAAAGCAAAGTTTCTATACGAAGAAGGAAGGATCCCTGCTTGCGTCGACTTGCTGGCGTTGGCGCTAGAAAAGATACTCTTTTATATTTCTCTCGACTCGAAACCCCACAAAGTTCGTGTGTGTTTGTTTGGTTGACTTCTAATACCGAAAGCTAAAACACTTTCCAATTGGAAGACCTCCACGCTGTTCGGAGGGAAAATGCTAGGTGATCTCTGCTGCCTCATCTTGTCGATGCCGCCCGACATTTTGTGCCGCACTCACTTTCTTTCTTCCCTTGCTAGCCACATGCCTCCCGCTCTCATGGTGCCGGAGAGTATTATTATATATTAAATAAAAATTTGGTGGTGTTTTCTCCTTTTTTCATTCGTCAAAGATTCGGAAAACGCACTTTATTTACTGTCCTCGCTCGCGTCATGGGGCTATTCCCTGGCTCTTAAGGAGACGCATGTCCACCAATCGTGGCTGCTGCGGGACTTGGCCCTTTCTTCCTGCAAGCGCTGTCGTGTCCTTCCCTTGGAGGAAGAAGAGCAGGAGGTTCATGCCACGTGTCTTCCGCCTATAACATGATATATAAGCCGGACGTGGATTTTTAGAACGCCTTTTCCGAGGCTATTGGCATCTGCAAGAGAAGTCTTGCCTTAGACTCTGGCGACATCCGCACGTGGGAGGTCGACCTAGTGTTCTCTCCTTTTATGTTTTCATTCTGTAGTTTTCCATAAACAGTTGCTTGGAGTCATGTTTACTCTGCGCCGTCAGTTTTCACGTGGTCAGCACTGCTTTATCCAATCGCTGCAACGCTCCACGAAAGTAGTGTCTTTCGCTCTTGCGTGAAGTTTCCTTCGTTGGGTACTACCAATAGACTTCTCGCACTTGGACCGCCCTCGGGGTTCTTTATTATTTGTGCGGAAACTACGACATGGCCGAAGAGGTTTTTTCCTCTGCCCGCCGTGGCGACCCTCCAGTCACCCTCTTTTTCTGCTCTTTTGCAGGCTTTTTACCAAGCGCGCACCCACGAGCCCTCTTGGATTCCTGGTCACGTCCTTGTGCCGTTCACAGGCTGTTCTCGATAATGTCGTTCCCCCAGGCTGGGTCGGAGCGGCTCTCGTGGCAGAAAAAATGTCCAATCCCTCAGCACGTGACTTATACCTCCATTGCGCTAATCAAGACTGCCACGTTTCTTTTTCATGAACACTGACTTGTTGCTCTGTTACATACCCTTTTCGCAGGAGGTCGGCTATAAGGGCTTTGCTGCCAGCGCCTATTCCAGCTTCCGCCAAAGCCTCTCCCCTAACGACTTCCACGTGCTCTATCAGGCCATCTGTTGCTTGGGTCTTTTTTAATGTTATTTCCCTGCACTTTCTAACTAATTGCGCCAAGAAACATGCCTGCAGAGGGACAACACCGACGCGTGGGCGTGGAACTTGCACGGCCTTCTGCTCGAGCTCGTCGGTTTAAACCAATCATGTTATTCCAGCTTTACGAGGGCACGAAGTCTGCTCGAAGGCTTCTATATCGCAAATATTACCTGCATTCCTGCGAAATTCTTTTTGCAGACCGCCCTCAACACGGCCGCCTCGTTACTTTCAACATGTCACGTGTTCTCGTGAAGGTCGGGCGTCCCGCTGATGCCGTTGGTCTGCTTTGTCCGCTGCTGGAGGAGCTCGAGAAAGATTCAGTACTGCTAACACCGCGGCGACGTTCACAACTGCTTACGAGTGTTTTTATTCGTAGACGCTCCACGAATGGGCGCTCTCTACTTTGGCTCTCGCCTATATGAAACTCGGGCTTCTGGAACGAGCTGCCCACGCCTACTCGCAACTCCTTCTTTCGGATGGTAACGTTTTCCTACACTATATTTTATGCGTTGCACTCACGTTCGCCTGTGCTTAAAGCGACGGCAGAGCAGAAAGGCGATGTTTGTATATCTCTTGGAATTATATTTTATTTCCTGAAGGACTATTCGGCCTCTCGGAAGTCTCTCTTCCAATGGTCTCTCTTTTGGTCATGTTGCTGTCTTTGTATTGGCTTCACTCTATTTAAGCGTCGAGCTATCCACCAACCACGTACGCGGCGTCTTTACTCTTGGCGGTATTTCTTTTTCTATTGTGCTTACCTGTATTTTACTGGTTTTTGTGTATGTAGCCTTTGGGCTGCTAACAAATGAGGAGCAAATAACACTTTCGGCTATTCAAGCGTACAAGCACCTTTTTCCGGTTGATGGGGACTGCAAGAGGGAGTATTTTTATTCGCTCCTCACTGCCTGTCTTTCGCTCTCAAAAGTATCCATAAAAAACTTTTGGTTCACTGAGAACGAAAACTAAAAGTTTATATATATATATATATATATTCAGGGCTCGATTGCAAGCGCCGTTGCTGCATTTGCTGCGAGTTTGCACCGCGCAGGACCTTTTGGGAGCCGTCTTTGGACTATATTGGCTGCATTTATATATAAAAGGGCTCCAGAAAGGTATTAGTTGATACATATTATTTCTTCTAGGCGCCTCTGCTGTCTTCTCTTTGCAGACTGCACTCTGCTCGCTCCTGCATGCAGACTGCCCTTCAGTTGGCGCACGGCGGGTCCCACACCTCTTCTCGTGCGCAAGACGCTTTCGGGGTGGTTGATCACGAGGAGGTGGGTCGCATGCTTTGCTTGCACAGCCTTTGTCTTCTGGCGGATAACACTGCTTCTTATAGAGAAGGTGACCCATACTAAACACGAAGCCCGTGTTCTGCCTTAAATAAGATTTTATATGGACAGCGCAACGCTCTGTCCATGTGGCTCCCTCTTCCTCCTCTGCCTGGTGCACTTTGGCCTCCGCACTAGTCAGTTTCATAGTGATGAAGGCCACTTCTCACAACCTGCTGGCCTCTGCCATCCGGATATATGACCATGTGCGCACAATGGATTCCCGGAATTTCCTTTATGCTACTTGCTGTCTTTGTGAGTGCTTTCTCATTGCCGGTTACATGCTCAATGGACAAGAAAAACACGCTTATCTTAACCAGGTGCCGTCTATTGAGCCCGCCCATACGTAGCGCACCAATTTTGCCGTGTTTTTACAGGCTGAACTGCTTTGCACCACCGAGCTTAACAACCAATCGCTTTCACCGGCTTGGAAAGCCCACTTTTATCTCCTTCTCGCGCGTTGCTATATCTGCAGGTAGCTTTATACAGATTCGCTCGTGGTCTTCCTTATTTTTGTAGCGGTAAGGAGGAAGGCGCCATCATTGCCTGCTTAAAAACAGCTGTCCGGCTCGATCCGAAAAACTTCCGAACGTTTCAGGTGACAGAAAATTGTATGTTGGTCGTTTTTTTATGTAAATTTCTTCAGGAACTCGCCATGTGCTATACTTTTCATCGTAAGTTTTTTCCACGTGCATTTAGCCTGCATAACCTCGCGCATAACTTTTCCAAGGCAAGTATAAGGCGGCCGAGCAGAGTGTGCTTGCAGGGCTCTCGTGTGCGCAAAGCAAGCCCGAGGAAGAAGTATTTTTTGGTGTTTTTCATTATAATTTCTTATTGTTCCTCGAAATATTTTTTTTTTGAAGATTGCTTTGGTATATTTGGGATATCTTCACATACTACAGCTACAAACCAACAAAGCCGAAGATATGCTGCAGCGAGTTTTGAGGCTAAACGACCTTAGTGGAGTTGCTTACTTTTTGTTGGTATTGCTTAATATTTTCGCCAACTTTTCTACCATCTTTTTTCCGACATATCCTATTCGAACCAATAGGGATATGTGTTTTACCGTAAAGGTAACTATACAGAATCTGAAAAAATACTCCGGCACTCGCAGAAACTTCAACCTATCCCTTCAACACTTTTACTGTGCTGCCTGCATAAAAAAACCGTAAATCAGATAACCTCAAAGCAGTTAACTTTAAAACTTTTTTATGCTTATTTCGTAATAAGAATTTGAAATGCGTGGAACAAGACTTTTACGAACTAAAGACAGCCCTAAAAAAAAATACTACTAACTATGAAAAGTGGGAAAATGTAGTGAAATACGTTGAAGATTTAATAAGATGCAAATAAAATTTATTTATTAGGCCTCCATTTGTTCCGCATTTTGCAGCAATATTATATAAATCGTCCTTATAACCAACATTGTAAAGTGCCAAGCTTATTTGCAGCAGTTCACGACTTCCCTGAGTTTTTTAATGAGCTAATAAGCTACTTAATTAGCTTGTATAGTGAAACATATATAAATAATAAAGGTATACGAATATAAGCTAGGCCTTACTGCTAGGATTTAATAAATTTGTTCTGGAGAAAAAAAGATCTGGTCCAGCCATTTTCTTTTGTGCCTTTCGGGAGCGTCCCGTCCTTCTTTCGACACTCCTTGTAAAACCGCCATTAGAGTTAAGGTAGCTACAATCAACGGCGGCGTCACTTTCCGAGCCTTCGTAACTGTTCAACTCTAGTGAATTTTTTAAATTAGCAAGCTCTCTGTGGATCTGCCCACAACAGTACTCTTTACCTTCATAATTAGAGCAGGCTATGCGGTTGTCATCCAGCCGCAGCCTCAAAAGCTTCTTATGCTGGTACTCACTTAACTGCCTAACGGCTGCCGTCTCTTTCTTAAAAACCAGGCTAGCTCGACTCGGGGGTCGGGCACAATAGTACTGGAGTTCATCGGAGGTTAAAAATCTTGCTGTCTTGTGCCGTCCAGCAGAAATATTTATATCCTTTTCTTGGTAGGGCATTTGTCTCCGCTCAGCACCCCTCGTCCCTCGAGGGAGACACTCGTTAGTCTTTTCTTCGGAAGAAGGTGGAAGCAACCGTGGACATTGAAGGTGTGCTAACTTCTGACGGGGAACATAAAGCGGTCGTTCTACTTTTCTTTTGGACCTTGCAGGTATAGTATAAGGGGAGTGACTCTCAAGTCTCCCTGGACTGTGCGTCGTTGTTTCAATAAAAGTTTCTGCTCTTGGAAAACCGCTATCTTCTACTTTTTGGCTTCGGACGTTAGCCTTATGTAAAGAAGGTGAGCGACTTAAAGACATATTTCTAACCCGATCTGTTCGTTTAGCAGGAGAGCTTCGATGCCTATTACTAAGGTAAAAGGCTTTAAAAGGTAAACCTTTTTCTCCATCAACAAAAGTTCTATAGTTTTCTTTTTTAAAATAATTGAGGTGGGAACGAAAAGGCCTGTCGCGCACCATGCTGCGTCCACGAGATAAAACGCGATGGACATTACTGTTAACTTTACCGCTACCACCGACAATTCCGCCCCTAGAACTAATTTTTATACCAAGCTTTGGGGCATTTTGACAACTGCTGCTATCGCCACGGCCACCAAAGATTTCAGCCCCGTTATATCTTCCATTATGACGATTCACCACCTCATAACGACTAGTAGTTCTGCCTCTCTCACACAACACGTATTTGTACATCTCAGGGCGGTTACCATTCACTATGTCGCCTTTTCTGCTACGGTAAGTAAAATTAACACCATCTACGTCAACTGTATCCTTGTGAAAAGCAGCGATTGCGTGTGCATCTCTAGTACTGTGTACAGTGTTTTCCTTAGGCCCAGGCATAGTCTTAGACTTGCTTTTGCGGGATGTATAGTTAATGGCCTTATAGCCCTTACTTTGACTATACACTTTTCGAAAGTCCACAGCGGTGGTGCAATTGTTATTAACACTTTCTTTATCCACTGACTTTTTAATAGGAGGTAAACCTCTTACCTCTACACAACAAATTCTTCTGCCGCCCCCGTTTTCATGGTAGAGAACGTCACAATCTTCACCGTCACCGTCACCAGTGGCCCTTCCCCTCCCACGAGTGAAATTATTCCCTTTCTCAGTTTCCAAGTAACCTGATGTATCCCGGCTACCATCATTTTTATTACTGGCAATGTTGTTGCCGCTCTGCGCATTACTAACACGATGGATGCTTCGAAACTCCTGAGGGTTTGATATGTGTACCTTAGCCAGATCCTCAACAAGACTCCTTTCGATCGGTGCTACTAATTTATCATCAACGCAGGATTGACCAAGATAAGAATTACTGTTAGGGGAGATGTTATCGCTACTCGAATTATTATTTTTACTATTGGATATGTAACGATGATTATTAGAAAGGGCGGGAGTGGCATCCTTAGCCATATAACTAGTACTACTGCTAGTGTGGGTAACAACCTTAACACATCCGTCGTGGTCCGCCTTAGTATTTTCATTACCAGATAGAACAGTATTATTGCCAACAAACTTTTCCTGCTCGTGATTATCCATATTCAATAACCCTGGACCTTTCACTGTACACCCGGCATCGATGGTACTACTTTTCTGGCAACCCTCAATACTAGAAAGCGAAGGGAAGTTTATGTTCTGGTCAGAAGACAATGCATTATTGCTAGACACACGTGCAGTGCACGAGGGGCCCAAGTTTTTTTCTGCCGTTGAACTTAAGGGTAAACCCTCTATATTTTCCTTTGCTGTTACTGGCGAAGAACCCACCACTGCCGGCGTCGAAGAAGAATCAGAAACTCCTGTTTGAACGGGGGTGGCTGGTTTGACGCTGTCAGTGCTATTCGAGGTGCCCTAGAAAAGCACAAAATAATAATACCTGAGAAAATAAGAAGGGAGGATAGTACCACACGACGTTCAAGAATGCGTCTGGTTTCGTCTTTCCGGTTAGTCAATAGTACCATTACTTCTTTTTCCGGCTCGTCAGAACCATTCCCACAGTAATGAGTAGGCCGCATTCTTTGGGCAAGACGAGGAAGAAAGGCCATGGAGGAGGGGTGAGACGGCCGCATGTGCCTGGGACCGCCGTAATAACCAGCGGAAAACATCGGTGGTGGTCCAGAAGGCTGAGTAGATACCGCAGTCGGGCGGATAACACGTGGCCTGGACGAGGAATAACGGAAGTTCTGACTACTTGCAGTACCCAACTGACCCGTTTGCCAAGGCGATGGGGCACGCGGCCAGTGTTCTTGCACATGACGTGGTTTCATGACGCTGCTGTCGTCCTCATCATATATATGTGCCCATGACTTGCTTTCTTCAGCTTCCTTGTTGCTGTTGGCGGAGTCCTTCGCCCGCTCGGCAGCCGGCAGCGGAGCTTCCGAAGAGAGAGCAGGAGATTGCACTGAACTCTGAGAAAGCTGACTTTTTTCCAAACTTGGTAACTGTGAAATCTTTAGAGAATCTATTTTTTTTTAAAACAAAGTAAAAAAAATTAGTAAGAAAAATATTAACCTTCCGAAGAAAAATTTGAATTAGTGCAGGCAAAATTTCTGTCGGGAAACAATCTCAAACGGTATAATACAAAAGTGTGGAATACAAGGCAATAAAAACTTTTTCGCCGGGTTATCCTCCTTCTGAGATGAAACAGCTCCGACATGTTTAGCAGGAGGAAGAGCTGAATAAAGAATAAGAACCTTTTATAAAAAGTCTGAGTCTCTTTAGTATTAACCTTGATCCAACGAAGGAAAGTCTTCTATCGAATTGGTAATCGAACAACTTTTCAAAAGTCTGCCGGTGTTTTCACTAGCATATCAATTTAAATATTAAGTATATAATAAACTAAATATAATAAACTATAATAATATAAAGTAAATAATACATTTGATAATTAGAACCGGAATAAGATTTGTAATAAATAAAGACACTAATTTGTAATACCGATGAAAAGCAGACGAAGAAATGCCTGAAATTACTGTAGAATTAGAGGAAACAGCTTTTATATTAAGCATAAATTTAACAATGTATAACTAAAGAGGATATAAAAAGAAGCAAAAAAAAAACCTAGTACGCAAAATTAAAATTAACAAATACCATCGGATTTTTTGTTTTTGATGGCCCACGGCGTTTCAGTAACAGTTTGCGTAGAGTTACTCCCGCAGCTTGTGGTAAGAACTAACGTACGCAGCTTTAAAACATTATTGGGCTTGTTATTTTTTTTTGCTTGAGTTATAATAGTCTGCAGTAAAGTAACAAAAAGTAAAATAGAAAGCCTTATAAATACAGAGTTAATAAATAAAAGTGCAAGAATAAAAGCACGGTTCAAAAATTTTACATAAATAATAAACCATTCTATATGAAATAAGAGTAGATGTCTCCAAGCTATAAGCACTCTTTATATTATATAGCTAAAGCCAATATAGTTAAATACAAGAACTAAAATATTATAAAGTAAAAGTACTAAAGTAAATAAAGCCGAAGAGAAACCAAATTCTTATTAAGGTTGTTTGACGACAATAAATGAGCTATAAAAAACTTATTCTTGCAGGCTTATTATTAAAAAAATAAATGTCGCCAGCAAAGGAGTAGCGAGCCGCAACTACCGAAACGGATGTGGATGATACAAACTTAAAAAAGGCTTCTTCAAGGATACAACAAAGCGTGGGTTCGTCTGCTGTCTGGCCTGGACCTACCAAACAAGGAATATAATTTTGATAGCTTCATCATCTTGCATACTATTGATTCATCAACTTAAATTTCTAGATGGTTAAACTAGTAATCACAAAAGTAGCAAGAAAACCTTTCGAAATTTAATATTAATAATATAGGTCTCCATTATAAATTTAGTAAAGTTTACTACAATTACTATAATTACGCAGGATTTATTATTATATTAAAAGCTTTAAAAGTAAAAGGTATTTATTGTATGCCTTTAACTTCCCTCTTAATATCCATTTATTTAATTTATACAAAAAATGTGAGACTATAAACTACCTTTGGTTTATAGTTTCGTTAATTATTATATATAGTTAGTTTATGATTCGCTATTTTTCATCCTTAAATGCATTGCGAACTTGTAACTTTCTTAACTGGGCCTCCAGTTTATTTAAAAATAAAAATTCAAAAAATGAGAAATTAACTATAAAAACACAACAGGTAGCTTCAGCTTTAGAGAGTAAGGCATTCTAGTAGGATATGTACACAAGAATTATAAAAATAAAATTTTAACATATCTTTACCCAAAAAGTTTATTTTTTCTAAATACACTAATTTTTTATATAATACTTGTATGACCTCACTTTTACCATTGTGAGCACGGTTGTATTAAAAGAAATCGGTAAAAGTATTAATACATCTTCATGGCTAATATTAAATTACCTACCAAATTTGGTTTTGGGAGAATAATATTCCAAATAAAGATAAATATGTTTGTTTGCCTGAAAATGACCTATACTTTAGCGGTAGTCTAGCAGGCTTATACTTATTAAGTATTAAGTTTATGTTCAATAACTTAAGATAAATGGAATAAGAACATATTAATATATTAAAGTTGGTACTACACAAAGTTTTTTATCTTTATGTCCAATGCTGCTAATCAATTAATTAAAATGTTGTTATATAATATAAAATGGAGTACGCTACAATTATTTTAACTACTAACTTTTCACTTAGTAATATATAGATAGGTTTTTTAATTGCCTATATTATTGAAATTTATAACTCCAAAATTGCTCCATTAAGGTGCTTATATTATAAGAACACCTTAAAAAAAAACTTAACACGCTTAAAGGATTTTGCTCATATTAATAAAAAGTTCAATGCAAAATTAAGTGCACATGATCCTAATAATTATAAATACTAAAAAATTTAAAGCAAATAGAAAATTTAAAAGGTAGAATAAATAGAGAGTGTTATTATGCACAGTAACCGTTATAGATTTTTTTTTTAAATTAATGCTTGTATGCTTAGGCCTCTACCTTCTAAAATAAATACAAATTTAAGCTACGTTTCAACAAAATAGTTTTTTTAACAATACAAGAGATGTTTAACCTTAAAATCATCTCTGTTTTTTAGCTCCTGACTTCTTAAAATCTTCGTAAGTTCTAATAAATTTAATATATAATATTAATAATGTGTGGGTGGAAAAACTATTGAATATGTTGCTTTATTTCTTTTGACATAGCAAGCACCTTTAATACATTTACAAACCAACTAAAAAAATTTTTTTATTTCTTTGAGTTAACACCAAATTGTATTTTAGCGGACTAATGTTTATATGTAGTGCTTCATATCTTTTACCCACGAGGGTTCTTATAAAATTGGTAATTAAAAAAATTGAATATTGACTAAAAAAACGTAATAAGAGACAAAAAACACATCAGAAACCAACTAGTCGGTAATCCTAGGCATTCAACTCCATTAGTCAAAGGCAGTTAAAGTAAAATTAATAATTGCTACTTGGCTCTTAAGTAGCAAAAAAATTATTTTATGGGACGAACGTATGAAATAATTGTGTCAAGATCTGCTTCTTTTGGTCATAAACAATTTTTTTAAAAAAAGAAAAATTGCTTGAATATTGTAATCCATAAATTTTTAATACGACCGAGTTATGTAGCCAAAAACGACATTTTTAAGGACTCTTAGTAGTTTAATTAAAACCCTTTTTAGACTTCCACTAGTTGCAAAGAAACATAACTGTGGGAATATGAGTGATGAATATATTTAAACTAAAATATAACAATATTTTTCCCTGAAATATTAGTATAACTGGTTTCTTTTGTTTTGTTTTTTTAATAGAGTCAAAGAAAACTTCCTGTTTTAATATAAATTTGTCCTTTTAAGTGGTTTCGCAAGGACAAAAGAGCTTAGAAGGAAACAGTATTTTTTCTAATATTTATACCAGCTTTTTTTACTTTCACTTTATGTTTTAAATAAGAAAAGGAGAGTTACGTGGGAGAATAATTAATTAAACATTACGTAACATGATTTTTTAAAAGATTGATGAAAGAAGTCGACGAGCGGTGAGGAAGTGGTAACGAAAGAATAGGTCTGTATGGAGTTGTACAGTATTTATTTTGTAGTCAGTCCTGTACAATTGCATGTTGGGTATCCATAGATATACAAGGACATTAATAAATAAATAATTTATTAATATGAGAAAAATCAAAAATGGATGTGATCCTGTAGTTCCTCTTGGCATTTAAATAAACTCCAACTTTTTTAAAACAATCCAGCTTCCGAAGACACCACGCTCAGAATCTACGCCAGGCAAAGACAAGCCTATCAGCCTCTTTTCAGAAGCTGGCAAAGTAGCTGAGGCTGCCATACGGCGCCGCTCCTAAGCACTTGTGGACCCAAGCCACTTTCTGTCCGAGTTTGAATTAGGGTCTCGATAAGGGTACTCCACGATTCAACATTTTCCGCCTGACAGAATAAATGACACAGGCCTTCAATTTAGAGAAGAAACAGACGCCCTCTTTCTTAATGTCGAACAAGGGTTTAAAAAGATTGATACAAAAACCTGTTTCATAAATTATGCAGCAAAGGCTTCCTACCTTTTTTTTACGTAATCAGATCCTACCTGAAGGGCCGCGTTCTTGATATACGTGTGGATGATGCGTGCTCACCCTGAGACCGCTGACAGTCGGAGTACCCCAAGGAGCGGAACTTTTTTATTACTCCCACTCTTTGCATTTTATGCGCGAGGAGCCTGAACGACCCCCACACGCGGAATACCTTATATGTGGATGTTACGACTCTTTCCTCCTCATCCAAAGTTCTTCTGATCACAAAGAAGCGCACTACACCACCTCCACAGGGCCTATGAAAACAAGTTCTTGCTTTGGTTTCCTCAGGGGAGAGGTCATTATAGACAATTAGCTTTCATGGTGGCCGCACGTAAACTATATCGCGGCGGAGGTCAAGGCGATGGTTCAAACCTTATACCCTGTACTTTGTACTCGAAGCATACTTACGTTGCAAAATGCTCGACGCTTGTATGTACTGTGTATCAGCAACTGGAAATACGCATCTACCGCCTAGGCCTACGACCCACCAGCAATAGTCTCTTCACTTCCAGTGAAACAAACCATGCTGCTACGTCTTATGACGGGCGCGCCGTGGTTTGTTCGCAACGATGCTTTGGCTTAAGATCTTCAGATTGAACCTCTGGGTAACTTTTTTCGACGCAATACTACCGCCATATACGAACGGGCTATCACCCACCACGCAATAGGCTCTAAATATATATTACAGATTAGGGCTAGGAATACTTTTAAATATATGTATGTATGAGATTGCTTCAACACAAACTTAAAGCTCAGGTGTACACCAAACCTTGTTGAGAGATAGTAAATTCGGTGTTTTCTTTTACGACCCTATCGAGCTCTAAGAAATACCATTCACAATGTAAATTATACTGAAAAAAACACCTCTTAAAGTGTTACCTGGCGAATTAGTAATTGCGCGAAACACATAGAGGTGAATTCGAACCATTTTGGAAGTATTTCAAATGAATGACCATATAATGATTAACATAATACGAAGAAAACTTTAACATTTCATTCAGTAGTGCATGGGACTGCCTTCTTGCACACTTCTTACAGTGTAAACAAACTATTTTTTTTTTACAGATATTATAGAATATCCGAACAATGTAATGGTTAGAGAACCCCTACGCCCCTACACGATCATTTGTATTACAAAAAATTAGTAAGTAGCGAAGCCTCAAAGCACGACCTTACTTCTTCTTGTGAGAAAAAAAATATAGGCTAGGCAGTTTTTTAAGTTATATAGTGACGATCGTAGTATATAAACAAGCCATCGCGTTATCCATGTCTGTGCCTTTGCTCCTTTCCATATATATTCCTCTGTTATAAACACGCTAGTTTTAATAAATAAAAAAGTTTGAGTAATTTACTCTATTTTTAAATTTGTTTAAGTCTACGTAAAAGTTATAAAATTTAATAAAACTAAGTAGATTTCGGAACTTTTTAAAACCGGTGGTAATCGTTAGTGACACGGGAGGTGCTGAATGAAGATGTAAAAAGAAGGCTAGACTATTAATAAATTTCGGGTGTAATGTTGGTATTAACAAGGTTTTTTTGTAATTTATTGTTCCAATATGTTATTATTTAGACTAAAAACTTTATTTTTATCTCTTTTAATTAAAAGGAGTCAAAAGAATGGCCCTTCTGCTTTCATCTCTCAAGGATGGTGTCACTAAGTAGTCCTTCTGTTGCTTTGAAGATATTAGCTTTATAATTAGCAGGCAGTGCCAGTGTAGGTTCACTATTATATTTATTGTTATCAAATTATTAATGAAGTTGGTCGCTACCCTTTAATGAACACAGTTCCAAAGGAGTTATCTCAACTACTTCCATTATGCTTAGAACTGCTTTACTTGTCTTAAGAGCTGGTTTAATTATGCTCTTGTTACTCTTCCAACCTATTCTATTCTGCAGCAGGTGGGAACTACTTTTAAAAGTGCTTTTATTTTATATGAATATACCCATTTTAGAGTTTACACTAAAGCAATCCTCGTTTTCTCTTTTTTATGGTGTAGTTTAATAGTCCTTACTAAGAAAACGAGAACTAACAATTGTTTAAATCAAATAAATTATGTATTTATAGGAAGAATTTACTGATAGATACATCTTATTAAAAAAGGGCTCCCCCATAGATTGCAGCATATTTTGTAATTACAATAATTACTAAGGTTCCTATATTGTTTTTTATGAAAACAACATCTCTGAGTGTACAAATTTGCAGCCCCCTTGCTGAAAAATTAAAATATGCGATAATCCTTTCTACTTATTTGATAGCGGTTACACAGAAGTGTCAGCAGTAAACCAACGAAAGCATTTAAGCAACAGGTTACTCAACTAATAGCAAGCTATAGATAAAGAAAACTGGGTAAAACTTTTTTATTTATAAAAAATATATATTTTTACCTAATAATATATAGGATTTTGCTAAGAACCTAATACATAATTTTTTTTTAAAATTAAAGTAAACCAATTCTCTTTATAAATTCCTTCTGTCTCTGTTATTAATAGGTAAATAAATTTTAAATTTCTAGGTTTAAATTAATAACAGATTCACTAGTATATTAATTAGGAGCAACATATTAACGAATTCAGAACAAGATTCACTTATTAATATTATAAACAAACAGTGCTTAAGTTAATCCTTTCTTAATTAGTTTTTAGACAGACTGAACTGAATTTAGCGGTAGAAATCAATTTCTATTGCAGTTAATCGGGTTTCTAGTTCGTGCCTACGAAGAAACTTTTCGTTTACGTAAACAGACCACATGCTTTTTCTTTTTTTTTTTTTTACATTTGTTATTTATTCGCACATTTACTTCCATTTTTGTCATTAATAAACCATTTTATTAAAATTTTATTACAAATATACTTTCCGTAAAAATATTTCTTTTGGCTAGAGGGCCTCTATATTTGTTAGACTGTCTATTAAATCATTCGAGTAATTTTCCTACTGGAGCCACAGTATAAGGGGGTTCCATTCTGGAGAGCACATTGCTTTTTGTCAGATTTGCTTTTTTGCTTTAACTTAGTAAGGTTGGAATGGAGTCGACTGTGGGTGAGAACCCACAGCAATCCTTAAAGTTGGAAGTAAAATCTATGGCGGATTTAATATCAGGGTAGTTGCAAGAAATTAATATTTATATGACATTCATGGCAATTATATTTTTATATATCGTTGTTAACAGTTAATTGCTTGATTCTTTGTTTTTGTTTTTATCCTGATTGAAGTAATTAATAATTTTTATATTTCGAGTATTTAGATTTCTTTTATTTATTATATTGCGGCTTATCGATAAGTGGTTTTAGGTTTCTTATTTTACTGAATTAAGTATTATATTATTTTTATAATCATTTTTTACTTAAACAGTTTTTTTTATATTTATTACTTACATCAACTAATAAATTTTTATAGTTTACTTTAATAAATTATTGCAAACTTGTATTATTATCTTCTTCATCAAGATCTTTAACAAAATCTATTATAATATAATTTTTCTAATTTTTTTATTTCACAACAAACATAAAATTTGTAATTATAGTTTCTTGTTAATAAAACACGATTTCGATTATGTTGTCAATACCTTTTATAAATAGTAATTTATGTTTATGTTATTATTAAGTTGTATTTTTCTTTACACGCTTTTCCAAATGGGCTTTAATTTCTGTTTTGTTAACTTATGTAAGTGAATTGAAATTTTACTTATAAATAGAGAACAATATTTTATTTTTGTTACTATTTTATTATTGTAATTTTTATATAATTTTGCAGAGATTTTTAAGATAATTTATTATATGTTTGCATTGTCGATTGATACAGATTTTTCAGAAGCGTTCATTTTTTATCTTAAACAGATTAAACAGTGCTTGTACAACTAAATGCCTTCCGCGCCGGTACCACCTGGATTCCCTTACGGCCAGCGAGTCGGCTTGCTTAGATCAGTGCGCTATGAAGTACATTGGCGTATGCAAACTGGTTAGAGTTGTGATGGCTGAACAAAATCAACAAGTTGCATAGCTTTCAATAAAAAATAATTGTACTTCGATTGATTTTTTTGTTTCTCATATCGGTTATGATTATTAAGTCTTGTTGACATTAGACTCTTTAGCCCAAAAAATATAATAAAGATATTTACTTTTGGTGGATGGTATTCTTCTTGAGATTCGATTGAAAATTTTCAATATATGGCAGAAGGGTTTTGCTGGCTATCGTACAAAGATTATTAAACTGTTAGAATAGCTCGCGTGACAAAGGAATATTTTTAAGACTTTTCAATAATTTAAACTTATTCTCTATTAATTAAAGGAAAATAAACCGTACTGCTTATTATTAGATGTCACTTTACAATACTATTTCTGTAAAACGATGGCATTTTTAAACTTAATCTACATATCACTAATTACTGTAATACTTGAGTGAGCAATCGATATAGTTTTATAATTAAAGTTTAGAGTTTGCATAACAGTACACAGCAACAATAAAGCATTAGCAGAGACTTTGCTAAAGTTGTTATATTGCGTATACCTTACTGTAAAGCTTTTAGTATAGAAGAAGCTTTTACCGCTACAATAATTTCGTGTGGGTTATCTGCAAACTTTTTTCTTATAAATAAATTACTATCGAGTCATGAAAGTTTTTAACAATACTCTGAACTTCTTAATTGATTTTTATCTTGAGTGTTTAAATTAAATAGACGTTACATAGCTTCTATTAACGTATGCGCCCTTTTAATAACTATATACTTACTGAACGTTTTAAAAAATAATGCAATTTGTAGCGTTATTGAGGGTAATTGCATTCACTTCTTTGTTATAGTTAAACAGAATATTCATATCTTTAAAAACGTTAAAGACTATAAAATTAATATAATTTTATTAGTCTAAACAGATGTGGAGTGAATAGTATATTCTTTATTAAATGAATAGATAAACTATAACCAAAGTTTGTCATAATAATAAGTACACTTTGTTATATATTAATAAGCAGTTATAATAGGTCAACTTTTTAGTAAAACACTAATACTCGTCTCCAGCAAATAAAATTATACTAACATTGCTTGTGTTTAGCTGATAAAAATTAATTGATAATCCCCTCTTCCAAGTGTTTCTTTCTTAATAAAATTTACTATATCTTTTCTTTAGATCATTATTAATATAAAAGTTTGCATAACTAGTTATATAACGTCAGTCACCTGGCCTTCCAAAAGGAAAACTTGCTGGTGGGAAGTCGTGAGGATGCACTTGTATAACCCACGGGTGTGATTTTATAAGCGAAATGGATAATCTAAAACGTTAGCTCGAAGTTAATTTATTTATATATATAAAGTTAGAAAACGAAAGTAAATCTATACAATTTTTTAAATATAATAAGTGTAATTAAAAATTATTAAGGATATATATGCCTTTTTTAACACTGAAAATTGCACACGAAAAATCTTTAATCAATACAGTGTCTTCCATAACCTTGATATAATAGAAAGTGTTTTATATAAACTCTACGATATTTTTAATGTTCAAAAATAGTAGAAGCAATGCAAAGTGGTCTTATATAGTACAAGCAGCAGTCACACTACTTTGGTAATTGTGGTTTTAAGTATAAAAATAGTAGACGTCTAAAAAAAATAAATGCAAATCCTTAAAAAGCGCCGAACGTACAGCTGATATTAAAGTCTAGTTGTGTAGTGAAGCTTTAAAAGCTTTACTTGTTAATTTATACTGCAAAGAGCTCTTCATTCTTAAAAACTTTAAATCTTTAAACTAAAATTGAACTATCAAGAACAGCTTTTCCTAAAATACCCTTTGAAAAATAAAAGCTCTTTTTCTGGTTAAACTTATAGCTTTTCGTTCTCATTTATACAAAAATCTGCCTAACTAAAGTGGATTGGCATACCTCTTTTGAGGATCAGAAGCTAAAAGACCGGTTATCAGGTCGGCCAGGTGGTCGGGTATAAAGGCAGGGATGGTATACTCGCCCCTAGAAATATTTCCAAACAGCTCATATATGTCGAGACCATCAAAGGGAAGTTTTCCTACGACTACTCGGTATCTGCAGGGCAAGTGGTGGTAAATCAGTTAACATCGTGCTGGGATTATCAATATATACATATATATACAGTGTTACGCCAGCAGCCCAAATATCAGTCTTAAAAACGCTGGATGGGCGTTGGTCGCTTTTTACCACTTCTGGTGGCTGGAAAGCGGGAGAGCCGGAAGAAGTGAGTAGTCTTATACCTGAATCAAAAAAATCGACTTCCTAATAGTAACATATTTTAAAACAGCTTCTTAAAAAATCCTCGTCCTTAAGGTACTAATTATAAATTTTTTAAAATTAAAAAGTTTAAAAGTTACTTCAGCAACGCCGAAGTCAGTAATTTTTAATTAAGTCATCATTGGTTAGTAGTAAATTGCCAGGTTTGATATCTCGATGGACTATGCCACGGCTGTGTAGATATTCAAGACCTTCAATTAACTTATTTTTTATAGGGATAAGTATAACTTAAAAAAAATAATAACCATATAAAAATTAAATTAAAGACTATCAAATTAAATTATAAGTAGCTTTTAAGTAACCAATTTTTTGCTTTGCTGTAACTTAATGCGCACTCAACTAAGAAATACAAATAGGTTATATAACACTACAAATATGCCTAATAAAACTAAAAACCTTGAAATTTAACAAAAAAACAAAACTTAGCAGTACTTGAAAAAAGTATGAATGCGCCTGCCATAGGGGTAGACGACCATCGCAAGAGTTTTCTAGTAAATCTTGTAATCCACAAATGCAAAATTCCAATACCTCGTGTAGTTATAACAAAAAAATATGTGTTGTTCATACAGAAAACGGAAACGAACATTATACTTAAACTGGTGACACTAAAATTTAATAGAAGGTTAAATATTTGAAAACGTTTTACAAAAACATAAACACGAACTACCGTCAAAGTTGCGCTAACATATTACTAATATAAGGTAATATATAACATTTAAACTAATCTTTACGGATCAAGTAAGAGTACTTACTATTTACCATTTTTTCTAAATTTATTAAAATAATGTGTATTTTACTTATATTTTTATTTATTCATAGAATGTTTCTAATTATTTACTATTAGTAATTTTTTTTATTAAATTTTATTTTTTTATGAATGAAAGAAGTTTTATAGGCGTGCTAAATATATACTTTTTTATAATTGATAAACTTAAAGATACTCACTACTAAAATAATTGCTGCGGTTAAGCTCAAACATTAAGAAATTTTAAAAAAATAAAAAAATCTAAATGAAGTTAGGTCTAAAAATTTTTAAAATTCTAAAGGGTAATTGCCGATTAGGAAATTTTCTTTCAAAATATAAAGCTAAAGACAACTTAGCGACAAATTTAATAGCTTTCAGCAAAGAAATGTTAATATTATATTTAAATGTACTATAAAGCTTTATTAAAAATTTCTTTGAAATGCTTAAAAGGCAGCCGTTAAAAGTGTGCACATAAAAATGTACTCTCCGCTTACTTATTTTTAACAATTTAAAATTTTTTATAATCTCAGCGCAGTAATTAGCTAAATATTAATAAATTTGAAGGAAAAAGGTTCGACCGGGCTTATAATCAAAAGGTGTTACTGTGGGTGACGCCCCGTACGGAAATAAATTCTTTTTCAAGGCCACTAAGCCAAACTTAGTGGCTTTCTTTACAAGTAAATATCTTTTATTTAAACAAAACCACTTCAATAATGTCTCTCTTAAAATAATTATTTTAAACTCCTCGTCCATGGTTTTAATTTTATTCTTGCAGCAAAAAAGGGGACAGATTATAACGTGAAAAAGTTCAAAGAGCTTAAGTTCTTACAGATTCGCATATAAAATTATTGCTTATTTAAATAAAATGGCGAAATAATAGAATTCAAAGTTTTTACCAAAATAAATTTTTAAAAAAGAAATATAAAATAAGTACAAGGTATAATTTGTGCTTATCTTTAGGTTGCAAAACTTCATATATTTTAATTATATGAAGATGAGAGATACTTCTAAGTAAGCGAATTTCTCTATTAATTTTATAAAGGTAAATATATTTCTATAAAACTACTTAAATTTTCGTTAATTACCTTTAAATATCAATCATAATTTATAATAATTATTTAAACTATTGCAATATTAATAACTAACCTTATAACGTTAATGTTTCCAACAGAAAGTTTTTAATCCTTTTGTTTTTTAGAATTTTAATTGCCACTAAGATGAATAATAGTTACATTTAATAAAAGTTTTAAATCGCTCTGTTAATACTTGAAAAATGTTTATAAACCTCTAAGGAGGTTTTCACAGTGAATAGCCTCTTTTACTTTTCCAAACGAACCTGAATTTTAATTTTTTTTTTATAGTTTACTTAATTATTATAATTATAGCTGTAGATGTTGCTATTCTTACAACCGCATTTGAGGTACATATAAATAAAAAACCTTCACCAACGACATCTCCGAGAATATACTTACCAACCTTAGAAATGTTAATAACTAATAATTTGTTTAAAATATTAAATGGAAAAATAAAGACGACCACTTTAGGATTTTTCGGCTTAGTTTTATATACTACGTTGTTCAAGTTTAGGTAACTGACTGGGGATACTAATAAAAAATTTTAATAAAGTTAAGTAATATTTTTAAAAAATTTGTACTATACAACCTGAGCTTCTAACCGAGTGCTCTTCCCTTTTACTTAAACTATGCATGCAGTAGAAGTTGTAAATTTAGAACACTCGGGAGTGTGAAAAGTTTGCAAAACAAATGTTTATTATAAGGGCTAATAAGTCTTCACTGCCCCCTTCTTACTATAATGGGCTTTCACAGTCAATGATAAAGTTGTACTTCCATTGGAGTATATGTATATGTTTATCAAGTTAATAAATATTTGTATTTTAAAAAAATTAGATTTACAAGTAAATTAAGTAAGATCTTGTAGTAGAGCTTATCAAATAATTTACTTCTTAAAACTACGCTTTACTTTTAGTGGTAAATAACGAACAAGAAACATTTCTGCGCACCGTCGCGTTGGCTGCATTTCATAGAGTACTAACAAGCCTGTAGTAGTCAATGTTTTTGTTTTTACTGGTCGTCTTCTTAAGCTTGGCCTTTCAGTTTCTTAGTTAGAGGCAGAACTATTTTAATTATCATACTACTTGTGAAGTCTCTTTTAAACCTTTTAAAAACAAGATAACCGCCTTAATACCCTATTGTTATCTTGATGAAAATGACAAAGAAAGAATACTTAAAGCTACCTTCAAAGTCCAGTTTGGGGCCATCAAACAATTACCCTTTTCATGTATATTCCTTTGTGTATACTAGCACTGATTATATTAACTAACGTGTCATTGTAGTTTGATTTACTTTTTTTGCGCTGTTTAACTTTTATATAATAGACATCCAGGAAAGTTAATACGGCGACCGGTAAATTTGTAAAGTTACCTAGCCAAAGTCATCTTAGTACCGAAAAACGAAATTTTATACTTGGAAGAGTTGTTGTCTTCGCCACTGCGAAGTATTTTTGTTTTTTTATGATAATATAATTTCTCTTATAAATTTTTAGATCCTACCATAAAACGTTATTAAAACAATATCTGGAAACCTTTTCAACCCCCTGTTACTTCCAGGACGCTTTATACGTTCAGCTTCCTACAATAATAGCTAGCGAATTTATTCCTGAAGTTTTTTATTTTGACTATGGAGTGATGGTTTGCTGGGGCACCACCGAAGACGACGAAAAATTGGTATCGGTCTTTATAGTAAATGAGATAATGGTTATTTCAAAAAGGGATCTTTTTTATTTTTTCCCCTTCTTTAATATACAAGTTAATATATATATAGCTCTACAATTAGGCTATGAGAATGGTAGAACCCTACGAAGTCGACAAAGCTGAGCCGGGTTGTGTAGAGAGCGATGAGTATGAGTTTGAGGTAAACCCGCAAGCCACGCCTCGCATATTAGACGATCGTATAACTCTAGTCGATATTAAGGTATGCGATCTTATTGAATCTTGACTGAAGGAAAATCTGTGAGCCCGATAATATGATCCTAAATTTAATGCTTTCTGAGGCGCTTTGTGGCGTGCGTTTATAGGTGTTAAAAAAAAGCAATTTAAGCACGGCCTTTTTTGCTAGTAAATTTCTATAAGAACAACTTCAATCTGGTTCTTAAAACGAGTAGGACGGAAGATAAGGAGCATAAAAAACTTAACATATAAAAATTAAAAATAATTTTAAGAATTTTGGTATATTTGTACTTCTCTCGTTTACTTTCTTTACGCCTGCGCCTGGCCAGCCCCAAGTAAGGGTCTCTATATCTGTTTTACTATTAGTCGTATTCATTAAAGTAGATTTAATAAGTCGATCTGAGCATCTTTTTTTTCGGGCATATTGCACTTTTTTTACGAATCCTTTCACGCTGACTACTTTTAGTCGGCACCGAAAAATTTCAAAGCTATTTTAGGAGCCTTTTTTAGAAAATTCAACTCCTTTCGAAGTTTTAAGTAGAACACCTTAATTATCAACCTCTTCAGCCTTTTTTGCAATATTACTTGTTTTATATTACTCAGGATATAAGGATGCGCCTGTCTATATCCTACGCGCTCTCGCAAAGTTGCAAACTTTCTGTGTTTGAAGAGATGATTGACCGGACTATTGATAAATACCAGCTAGTCCCTCACACTTTAGCCACCACCGGAAAAGTTCAGATGACGAGGTTAAAAGTAGATTATCTTATAGCTCGGAGAAACGGTTGTATAAGTCTTGCCATTGCATTTTATCGGGGGGTCAAATCTTTTTCTATTTGTTATTTACTGTAATAATTTATAAAGATGTTATTAATAAACTTGTGTGAAATTGACTTGAAGGTTTTGTCTGCTAATTTTGTATTCTTACTGTCGCAGGCAGGAGATTGCTAAGGTGATAGGACAATTGTTCTTGCAAACAAGCTTAGTGAACCTGGTTTCTAACGTTCTGGATACGTATGTTTCGTATAAATCTTATTTTTAATTTCTCGACGTCACTTATCTCGTCTTTAACGGTCCCTACGCAGCCCCGATTTCTTCTGGTAATTTGCTTCCTTACTCACACTCCAATTTTTTTCCTGCAAAATAGCAAGTTGTGAACATTCTGTATGCAGGGAAGAGCCCGACCACCTTGAGCGGCTGTACCTGGCCATTCGAGGGTATCTGGAAATATCGCGGCGCTGCGAAGTTTTGAACAGGAGGCTGCAGGTGGTCTCGGAGATGATGGGCATCCTCAAGGACGAGCAGAACCAACTGCACGGTAGCCATCGACAGTGCATGCAGTACTACAAAACTCACGCGACGGTTTCAAGGGGAAAAACTCGAATGGATCGTCATATGGCTGATCGTGGCTGAGCTAATAGTAGGCATTGTCGGCATTGTGGTGACCCTCTACCTCACGCCAGCAGCCCCGCGCTCTCAGGAACGTGATGAAGTGGGTGTATGGCTTATTTTCTAAGAGTAACAGCTAACAATAAAAGCACAGCCGTGGAGAAAACTATTGAACCCTTTATTTTTGGGCTCCTTAAAAGTTTATCCTTGCAAAGGGGTACCCTTACCTTTTTGGAAAGGCAGAGCCGGATTATACCAACAGCAAAAGCGGGGGCCTTACAGGGAAGAACTATTGATAGCGTTAAATCGTCACGAAATCAACTCGCATAACTCGAAAAACCAGTCTTCCTTCTTCCTCTTGTTCTTAGCTTTTCTGCTGGTGTGGTTTCTCCTTGATGGCCTTGGCGTTTGGCTACTTTTATTATGTTACAAAGAATTATTTGGAGTAAACTATAAAAAAATATTTAGAGTGATTATTCGTACAATTAATAATAGGTAGAGTCGAGAATGTAGTGACTAATAAATTTCTATAACGGTAGAAAAAGCACAAAGATAGTAAAAAAAAATAACTTAGGCAAAGGTATATTTCGCTAATATTTTTTCTTTAGCACCTTTGTTAACATATACAACCTCTTTTAAAAACAAAATCAAACTATTTTTTTAGAAAAAGTATAGGTCTACGCACGAATCTTTAGGACTTAAACCAGTGCAGGTGTCGCCTGCGGTACCTAAAAATAATTTATGAACTAGTATAGTTAAGCATGTTATTTTAAATTGAAAGTCTGCCGACTTTACAAGAAAAATTAAAAAAAATTGTTTTCAGGTTATTAATAAAAATACTCTGTTGGGCAAACTCTTTAGACACAGAGCGTAAAACGATAGCATGTAAAGCTAGTCGGCCAGACTCAATTTCTAATTACTCAAGGAAGTTAATAAAATTGTAGGTCATAAATTTACAGTGTTTGCTTGCGTAACTTAAGTCGTTTGTATCAAGAGGAGGTCTTTTTCAAAATATTTTTGAAGAGTAACAGTTTGAGTCTATTTCCACAAGGGATCGATTTAAAGCACGTTGGAGCATCCGGTTAAAGGTACGCCCTTCCGAAGATAAACGAACTCTGTTCTCTAAGGTTTTTCCACGGATTCGATTAATTTAAGGAGTTTCCTAATTTTTTTTTTATAACGAAAGGTCATAATGGGTAAACGTTTACTTCTTTTAATATCAACTTTCCTCAGTATGTACAAAGTACAAACGGTGAAAGATTTTTAAAGTTATAAAATTTAGCAGTTTAAAATAAAATTTAAGAAATTCCACTTTTTTATAACGTAGATAATTATACCCATGCTGTAATAGTGTACCAACTTCGTTGTAAACAATTGTTTCTTTTCTTCTTGAGCTTTTCCTACTTATAGTATATAACTCTGACAACTGCCCTCTCTTATGTAAAAACGTATAAGGTTTTGAATGAATATTAACCTCATCAAGTGCTTGGTGACCCATGCTAAAATCCTAAAATTAAGAGCCCGAAAGTTTGTGCAACACAAACTAGTTAATAATAACTCGTTTTAATATGATGGTCCTTTAGTCAGGGCGGAAAAATTATATTTGTAAAGCAGTTGATAATATTGCTTAAAATAGTCAAAGCGCGAAACACATTTAAAAGCAAACATTTTTTTGCAGTCCTTATTTGAGTAGACAAGGTTTAGCATTTTGTATATAGTATTATTGATTTAATCAGTCACTTTTTTTAAAAACAAGAAGTCAAGTTAGCTCTATGCTAACGTCTTATGTATGAATTATCAAATCCAGCTTATTTTTAAAAAAATATAATATTTGCATATGATCTCAATAACAGGTAAGCTATAGATCTTTTGGTAATACACTCTCCTTTCAATAATGTATTTGGGCTTAAGAGTAGCTCACGAAATAAAATATAAAATTGCGACCCTTTTCACGCAAGTTAACAATATAAAAGTTCGCCCAATAGCTTATAAATTGAGATGTATTCTTATTGCATTCCCTTTAAAGAGTCGATAAACATTTCTAAATTCCTTTTCTCTTATACTGACCTCTTTTATAGTTATATTGATAAAGCATTAAGGTTACTATTTGTGTTAGGTTTACATGACATGCTGAGTACTATTGCTCTACTTGAATGGTCTACGTTTAGTTTGCTGTCTGGGTTTTTTGGCATTAAGGGGCCGCAGGTAAATGCATGTTAAGGCCTATACTCACACGTGAGCCTTCTGCTTCGGGATTTTTTTCATAAGAAAGCTATGCAACAAATTTAATATATTTCGTTGGTGTACCAACGCCCCGAGTATGTAAAAAACGCATGCATCGAGACTGCAAGATTGCAGTTAAAAAAAAAAGCCGAAAATGCTTTAAACTAGCCCAAAAAGGGAGAAGAATTGAGCAACAAAAAGGATATTCTTAACTTGGCACGTTAACTTTATAAATATATAAAAAGCAGCAGCGTTCACTTCTTAACCCTGCGCTTTCGCGTAGATCACAGCCCTTTTCCTGAAAGTATTATATCTAGTTATTTATAATTATGGTTTGTTCAACAACCCCAATTTTTCCAGTTAGAACTTTTAAGCTTTTTTATGGAAGTAAGTAATCAAGGAAAGCAAATTTATGGGTTATCTTTTACCAGATTATTTACATTACTAGGAGCTTACACCAGTGTTTTTAATAAAATCGTCGCAGTAAAATAGTAACAGCTCTTGTAATTAAATTAAATGATATCGTGAGACAATAACTTAAAGACATCTTTAATAACCTCCGTGTTTAAACAGTTCTTATAGAAGTTTACTGTCATTCTTGCATAACGGTTGCTGAAAAAGCCAAACAGTTGCTGCATAAGCTACAAAGCGTCTTAGCTTAATTTGGTTACTGAGCTTTAGTGAGTTCCCTTACTATAGTAATTGGTGTACAACATCATAAGCTTCTCTAGCTGTAACTATTTTAAACTTATGCCATTATCACGATAGAACTAAATTTATGTAACAAACTTTATGTAGCGACTTTAACTTTTGTCAAAGATAGGGAGGTTACTGTAATAAGCAATACTATTTTCGGCTCTTTTTGAAGGTTGCGTTGAACTTCGGAAAGTTCTGGGATCCGCAAGGGTCGTGTCGAAAGATGCCCTTGGAAATTGATAAATGTTTTCTAAAGATAGGAATATTGTTTAAAAAAGAGTAGATCAGGTTAACTTAATAGTATAGAAGGTGATAACAGAACAAGATTCACATAGAAGTAAGGTCGGCTTAAAATATATAGGTTTTTTCAAGAATTCAGACTAAACAAAAACAAAGCTTCTGATAAGGGAAGGCTAGAACGCAATCTTAAAGTATACTAAGGTTTAAACTGCTTAAGAAGCAAAAAGATCAAAACTTAAAAGGTAGCATGGAGATATTTATTTACTACTTTGCGGTTAGTCGATTTTAAAGCCCGAACTATTTAGTAATGATATGGGGATCAAAGGCTCACCTGTAGGTGTTAAGTTGACAAGTTGTGCGTTTAAAAAATTTTGAATCATTTCTAAATAATGAAAAATGAACTAGTTCACCTTTTTAAGTAATCGCTATAAGCATTCCACTTAGTTTAAAATAAATTTTTATTAGTTATAACAGGGCCTCTCTTCTTGGGTGTGGACAATAGTAAGAAACTAATTCGCTGATAAAAATATTTTAGCAGTATCAACATTGTTACGCAGTACTTTATATTTAACCTTTAAGCATTTTGAAAAAATTAGATGAATTTCCGAGTCACTTAGTAGAGAGTTCTTCTATCGCTGTAAAATTATTTTATTTAGTGTAGAATAATTCCTAACTTAATCATTATAGCCATTCAGAAAAGACTAAGTGTTAAACCTGGATTATTTATTAGAGAGTATAAATATGATTGTGACCAACTTGCTATTTATTGATTTAAGCTTTTTTTTAGTGTTCGATAGAGTTAACTGTTAAAATTTATTTTCTGTTAAATAAAACTACTAATTACTATATTGAGCACTTTATAGACGATCAATCTTCTTTGGTGATCTAGCGATGTAAACTAGAATCTATAACAATTGCAGTCTATTCGATACGAGCCAACGCATGACCTATTAAAGAGCCGAACAAAAACGACAAATGGACGAAAGCACAGGAAAGTATTAATCCATTTTTATATATTTATTATAACACAGTCATGCTATAATCGGGATTTACAATTCTAATTTTTTTCTAAGTGAGGGTGCTGTCACGATTTACTTAACAATTCATTTGGGCCGTCAACGAGAACAGATGTGCTTTATCATCACAGCTTATTTCCCTTGCGTTTATTTATTTATACAAGAAGCCGGTGTGCTATAGTCATGAATATATATCCTTTACACTGCTTAAATCTTATTACCTTCGTAGTAAAGGGTTGGAGAGTAAACTCCATAAGTAGGGAAAGTTAACTTTTCACAGTCATCCAGTATAGAACACATTAATTGCAAAACTTTTATTTAATTTTTATTAAAAATATCATATATTTATTTTTAATATTTTATTATTATTACTACTATTATTATGGATATTACGGTGGTAATAGAGGAGAGTGTATTATTATAATTATTCAGTTAGTCAGCTAATTGGGTAGGAATAACCGGTGTTTAGATTCCTATATTTTGCTATACCACAGAGACTCGTAAATTAATTGTAGATAACAAATTGTTAAAGTGTTGGCCCCACTCAAAGCATTTTTCTGCGTTGTTTTATTCACTTCCGTGATAAATTCAATTTTACAGTCTCAGTGCAGAAGCAAGTTTTTTATAAACTACGGGGCTTTAGTAACAGTCGAAGAAAATTATTATGTAGGATATGTAGCCTATGTAATTGTCGCATAAAATAGAAGATTCAAGCCGAAGATGCACATGTGAGTATGGTCTTAACATGCAATTTTTATATAGAAGCAGCTTAATCACTAAATATAGCCCGCTCTTTTCGTATGGTAGGGGGTACAAAACTTTCTTAATTCTAAATTCGTTGGTTGAGTAGTCTAAGTGAGCGTCCTACTAGAACTTTTGGCCAATAACTACTCCAAGACGACTTATTCCGTGACCACCAGAGGAGATAGTAAATATCCTCAAGTTGCTCACCGGGCGATGTTTCCATTTACGCGAGATCAGTAAGGCCTCGCCTTTCTAATGGGACTAAGTTTAAGATAATCAGGCTTGAACCAACTTTCAAGGAAGTGTAATAATGATTGCATATTTTTAATAATTAACGGGAATGATTAGAACTTATATAGATTGCATTGTCATCAGCATACTGCGCAAGGGAAACAGTGTTGGCTATTGGAACATCAGAAGTGAATATGGAAAACAGCAGAGGGGACAAGAGGGGGGGGACCTCTGAAAAAAGGAGTACAACTAGTGGGTTAGGATTTCTATTTGACCCTAAATTTTTTATCTTTTGTTACACCAGAATGTCCTACGCGTAGCTCACTGGCGCCTGTTAGCAAAATAGGTAGGGAAAGGGAAGTGATTTATTAAATTGACCTGCGCTTGCACCAAAGCTTGGTAAGCGCTTTGGTGGGCAGGGTTTTTAAATAACGGAAATATGAGTAAAGCGTGCCTAAAATAGTTTAAATTCCAAACGAAAAGCAACAAATTCCAGGAGTAGGTATCCTGTTTACAGTCTCTTCACAGTTGGCTGCAATTTATAAAGAATCTTCTGTTGAACACGTTTGTTCGCATCTCCAACACTTTTTAAAAAGTCTCATTTAGTTGTATCAGCTACGAAGGAATATTATAGTGTGCCATTTTTAATATTAATTCTTTGTACCATATGTTATTAAAGGTCCCTCAACATCTAAGAGCACAAGGATAATTGTAATTTTTTAATTTAACGCTTTGCTAAAGTACTCAGAAACCCTTTAGATCTGTTGAGTGGTAGAATGATTCCTTTGAAAGTCGAACTGTACATTAGGAATATTGGGCTCCTTCTCTACAAAGTTCAGCAATCCTTAAAAAAAGCTCTTTTGCAACTTTCCCGAGTCAAGATTGCAGGCTTATAGTGTGATTTCTTGAGGACTATTTTATCCATCGAGAAAAAAAACTAAGTTATCTATTATTATTATATCTATAGACCTAAACAATTACTATTAACTATGTGAAACTATTAATTACATACATGATCACCCCTTATATATTTCAGTGTTTTAGTCCTAACACTAGAAACAATAACAAAAACACTATTAACTGGACCAATCCAGACCCGTAGACGGGGCCCACAGGGAAAAAGGAAATAACAAAGAAACAAACAAACGTGGAACTGAAACGGAAAAAAATCTCTTTTCTTTCTTTTTACAATAATTTATTTATTAATGACAGTTCCTGGTGCTCGATCGAGTAAAAAACTTCGAATACCCGAGCTCTCAATCAGGAAAGATGCAGATATATATAAAATAG